TTTCCACAGACATCACCTTATTTAATTCCACAAAAACATTCTTGTAAACTAGGCATTATCACAACTCAAGTGCAGCAGACCAGGAAGGAAATACAGTAGAACCTCTGTAAGTTGGCCACCCGAGGGACTGTAACAAACTGGTCAACATACAAAGGTGGTCAACATGAAGAACTAGGCCTTAGCAGAAATGGGGTGTGTCCATTCTATGCAAATTAGGTCAACTTAAAGAGGTGGTCAATGTAGGGAAGTAGTTAATTATGGAAGTTCTACTATATAAATGACTAAAGTAGATGAGGTGATTTTTTAAGATAAGACGAAGTTTCAATTTTCAACTATTGGCAAGTAGAAAAAAAAATGAAAGAATAAAAAGAAAACCATTGTGGCAGCTTGCAAAATAACCCCCACCAATAAAATGCCCAACTTCTTTCTATCCTTGTATGTATGCCCCTTTGAATGTGACTTTGCTGTTCCCCCATCAAAAGATGGAGCCTTTTAAAAATCTCCTTGAATTTTACTTTGACCAATAGCAAACATGACACAGAGGCTTAAAAAGGGCTTGTGTCTTAGGACTTGTCCATTTATTGCAGCCTAAGACCACTATGCAAAGAAGCTAGGTTAGCCTCCAGAGGTCCAGGGAATAGCAAGCCCTGCACCAACTGTCAGATGGATGAATCAGGCAATCCAGCTGCCAGAGGACTGCAGTCACATGTCTGAGACCAGCAGAACCACTAGTTAAATCTGGCTCCAATTGCTGACCCACAGAATTGTGAGCAAATAGCATGGTGCATTTTACACTGCTATGTTTTGGGATGGTTAGCTAAGCAGTGATAGATAACTGTTACAGACATGCAGTCAAAAATCATATGTGCAGTTTTAAAATGGTTATGGGCTGCCTCTTTGAGACCCTCTGCTTTGGATAAATGGGTCTAGGCAACCTCTAGAGGTCCCCCAGGCTCCAGTGTCCTGCAGGAGCAGCAGACTAATTTGTCTATGCTAGCACAGAATGGGTCAGACCAAAGGGGGGCATGTTGATAGAAACAAGTGACAGGTCAATAGCAAGCTGTATGGACTGATGCCTGTGGACGGGGCAGCTGATGGGACATTTCAGTATATATCAGCACAGATGTGCTATTATATAAACTTCTCTGGAATTTAAATGCAAACCTGGGAGGAAGGGGGTTGAAGACCCCAGCTTTATTGAGGCTAAGTTTTCACTAATCCTGCTATGTGCAGACCCAAAATAGAAAGTGAACTCTTGCATATCTAAGTTTAGGAGTACCTTGGGTCTTGAATCTATTGATATTGGAAGGTAGCATTTGAAGGTTAGAAAAAAAAAATGAATGGGAGCCAATGAAAGACAAAAGAAAAGCTTTACTGCTTGCTTTTTCATAAACTTTCTATGCTTTTTCCACTGAACCAGCTTTGAGGGAAGATTTAAGAGGCACTTTAGTTCTTTCCAAAGGTGTGAGAGATTTCTGAAGGAGTATGAAAGTGATAATGGATCCTTGACTGGATGAAAATTACTTTGAGGAGCCTGAAAATATTTAAAATTGAATAAATCTATCACCAAACTTTAGGGATTCCTTCTAAATGGGTTGATTTTACTTCCTGTCTTTTTCTGATTTTGTAACAGTGATTTGCCGCAGGCATTTGCTTTGTAGCTACTATGTATCAGGCACTGTGGGGCACATACAAGGGGATATGAGAATTTAGAGAAACACTGGTACAGAGAGTTCTGATTCTGTGTCTAATGGCCTTCCATTTTAATTACCATAATCACACATACACTTACTTGACAGTTTTTGAGGAACATTACAACATAATGTGATAGGGAAGAGCCCAGGGTGCTAGGAAGGAGTGGGGGCACCTAGCATAGACTGGCACGGGCCAGGGAAGGCTTCCCAGGGAAACCAGTATCTGAGCCAGGTCACATAGAATATGAGTTGGGGCTCAGCACCTGTAGCTCAGTGAGTGGGGCGCCAGCCACATACACGGAAGCTGGCGGGTTCCAGCCGGGCCCAGGCCTGCTAAACAACAATGACAAGTGCATCCAAAAAATAGGCAGTTGTGGTAGGCACCTGTAGTCCCAGCTACTTGGGAGGCTGAGGCAAGAGAATCACTTAAGCTCAAGAGTTTGAGGTTGCTGTGAGCTGTGATGCTATGACACTCTACCCAGGATGACATAGTGAGACTCTGTCTTAAACAAATGTAAAAAAAGAGTTGGATACAAAGGGCTTTGAGCAAAAGAACAGTGTGCAAAGATAGAAAAAGGAGTGTGCAGTTCATTCACTAAACGGTTCTTAGAGTGATGTGACTGAAATTGCAACATGGGAGGGGTCTAGTGAGGGAAGGCTTCTGGGGAAGTAGGGGAACTAGAAGGAACCTCCTGGACAGGATGACCAGTATTCAAAGACAACCAGTAGAAGGAGCAGGTTGTGTGCAGGGGTAAGCCACACACACAGTGGACCGGGGCAGGGTCACAATACCAAAGCTGGGAGCAACAAAAACAAAGTGGCTTACAACCAGGCAAAGGAGGATGGAGGCTGTAAACTAAAATGGGCAGAGAAACTGGGAGACAGCAGGACTTTGGAGATTCCAGGTATCTGCCTCTCCCACGTAGGAGGTTTAGTCTCTGCAGAAGCTCCAGAAGCAGGATGCCAGAGAGGGAGTAGGACCTGCCCAGTAAGGATTGCACCCAGTAAGTACAATCAGTAGTGATAAAACCTCCAGCCTCCTCCCACTACCTTTCCAGAAGGCTATCAGCAAGTGTTTTATGCTCCACATAGGAGACTAGAGGATTCTTCTCTAGGACAGTGGCCTGTAAATACTGTATATTTGGATAAGTAATTATTAAGTTTAAAAAATACAATCTTTAAAAAATATAATCTTTCTGGAAATGCTTCTTTTAATGAGGTAGATATCCCCCCTCTAATTCCTATGTCCATGAATGAATAACTTTTATTTCTAAAATGAGAAAGGATTCAGTATCATTTCAACCTATGTTTTGGTTTTATGGAAGTGTTGAGAAAATTTGTTCACATACATTAATAGGTATGAATGAAAAGAATTTTGTGATATCACTCACTGCAGAATTAAATATTAAAAATCACACAGTAATTCATTCACTAATGAAGCATTAATTCATGAAGCATTATTTTTAATAATCTGTCAGTCAACAACTCAATTAGGTTTTTTAAATTGTGCTGAAGTAAATAATTGGAAACTGATTAGAAAAAGCTTCACTACCCACCTGCTGGAATAATTTCAAGGTGCTTTGTCTAACTCATTTAAGCAGACAGGACTGGGGAAATAAAATGTTAATTTTATATACCTTTGCCTGTATAATTTTTTTTTTTTTGCAGTATTTTTTTGGCCAGGGCTGGGTTTGAACCCACCATCTCTGGCATATGGGGTCAGTGCCCTACTCCTTGAGCCACAAGCACTGCCCAGTTATTTTTTAATAAACATGTTTTTTTTTTTCTTTTGATATCTTGATAGACTGGGCAGAAGCTTTGCCAGGAAAGGACATGCTGCAGACTTGCATATTTCTTACCAAAGCTCTCTTTGCTTTGGTTTCAGTAACTCCACATTAAATAAGAAAAAAAAAAAAATAATAGTGATTGTGGGAATGGAACACGATCCTTAAATAAAAGAAATACAGAAGGTGCCAAAAATATATATACACATTTTTAGAAAGTAAAAAACTATATTAAATTTGTGATAGTCATGTTTGGCTTCTGCGATTGTTAAGAGGTGCTCCGTGTGACTTGTATTCATCCTCTGTTATTGGTATGTATTATTTTTGGCACCCTCTGTATTTAGAGTTGTTCTTTACTTGGTACCCTGAATACATTTATACCTGGGGTGATATATCAGAGTACAATTGTATGATTGGGGAGATCTCTCTTTACTATAGCTGGAAAAGGGTGATTGTGAAAGTAGAAGTGGGATGCTAAGAAGTAGTATTGAGCTGCATTCACAAGCAGATCAGTTTTAACAAAGATACACATTTGGAAATTGATGATCTGGAAAATGATTCCCTTAAAATTATTTGTGCTTATATACCTCTTAGAGGGTACATACCCATCCTAACTTGAGACAACTGACCCACATCAAGAAAGTGGAAAATGTTACATCCAGGAAGGTGGAAATTGTTACAGGAAAATGTGAAGCACAGTGTGACAGGCCTACGGAGAACTCCAGACAGATATCTCCAAGAATATGAAACTGATGGATTACCTGATATACTCGATGGTATTTAGCAAGGTTTTACGATTTGGTTGGAGTTTAGGGTTCCATTCTTCACCAGTACTTACGGATGACCTTGATAAAGCTCAAAGGTTAGCCAGCTGAGAAAACAAGATTGGTACCAAAAAGGAGGTGTGTATAAATGGCAAGGCACTGATGAGAAACATATACCCGGATTAGAAATAGACACACCTAGAAGGAAGAAAGTGGCAGTAATAAAAATGACAGCAGTATATCAAAGACAAATATTTCCTGCTATGCCCACAGAAGGCATGACAATCACCTTGTGTTCCCTTTAGCCCATGTAGCCTTGAGAAGGTGAGGAGTGGCTCAGTTCAGTAAGGTCAGATCATGTGCAGGCAGCTCTCCCCAAGTACAGCGTCTACAATCTCTATTCTCCACTTTTTGGTGAGCTTATCAGTCTTTCTCAAAGGCTAGATCCTAACTACTTGCATCAAAATCACCTAGTTTTCTTGACAAAAATCCCAAATCCTGGCTTTATCTCATACAAACTGGTGTTGGGATCGCAGGGTGGGAGAGAGATGAAATCCTGGAATCTGTATTTTAAGCAAGTAGATTCAGGAGATTTTTATACACTTTTGAGTTTGAAAGGCAGAGGTTTAAGTCCTTAAGTGGAGATGCAGATGTATTGTAACTGAGGTCTGATCCCTTTCCTATGTTATGGAGCAGTTCCCCACCCCCACTCCAGCTCCAGATATTTTGCATAAGCAAACATACTGTGGAATGTTTGACACCCAGGGCTAGATTTCCTGAGCCCTTCCTGTCCCACCACAGTGACTGAGCTCAGTCTTGAGACTATGGAGAAATGAATTTTTAATTTCCTTCTCCTCCTTTCTCCAAAACAGTATCCTCCTCTGAATTTTAACAGATACAAATCAATGCAGACATCCTGTTAGACCTTCAAACTTCTTAAAATAGGATGCTATCTATGCTTTAAAAACTCCAATTAAACCACCATCTAATAAATACCCACAAAAGGTCCTACCTCTATGTTGGGTGCTAGAGCACACACTATTGAAATGAAGACTCAAAACCTCCGATTATGACCCAGCACATCAGTTCCATGAAGCCCATTTTCAGAATGGACAGAAAAACAAACGGTGTTAAGACATTTGGATTATGATCAAAAATGGTTCAAGTTTGGGGAATTCTACAAACCCGAGCTAAAGTTAATATGGATCAATCCCTTTAAGAGCAGCTTTTCTTATAGAGTTATAGGGGAGAAGAGATTTCATTTCTCACCCATTGCTATAGGTTCATGACCGAGGAACCTGTATCAAAAGGCAGATTAACAAGAGAAAAACACACACGTTTATTTAGTATAAGTTTTGGGTGACATGAGAGCCTTCAGAAATGAAGACCCAAAGAAACAGGGAAACCTATGTATTTGTATGAATAGTCACGTAGAGGTACAATTGCAGGACAAAAGGATTTGGTCTAATGGTAATACACTGGGGGAAACGCAGCAAGGCCTGTTTTTCCAGAATCTTCTTGGTGTCCTTGTGCCTTCAAGGATAAAGGGTATTTCTGAAATGAAGGTTTTATGACTCATTTCAGGTAAACATCACCTAGGTATTATGGTCTGCATTAGAGAAGGGGTGAGGGGAAGGTGTGAGCCATCGTCTTGCTTCTGCTGTTTTCTCAAATACAAGAGTGCTATATTTGGGGGTAGTGTGTCTTAACCCTATCAGCATTAAGGTAGAAAGACCAGCCCAAATCCTTGGTTGAATTCCCACTAAGGAACAGATAAGTGGCCACATATATGCCTTTATATCTGGTCACCTCCACAGAACGTGAGAATATTGGTTAGAGCTCTAAATCACAACAGAAAAGAAATCTTTCTTTATTGCTACCAACTCGTCCCATCAAGAAAGTAAGAAAATTAAGATTCAAGATTTAATTAACACTTCAAAAATTAAAAGCAGTTTTAATGAGTTCTTAGGAAGTCTTAGCAAAAATTAATGTTCAAAAACATTAATTTTTAATGAAAATTGTTTTTTTTTTTTTTTTT